TGGCGAATGCTGGTGAGCGGCCTATGCTCCTTCACGAGGAGTAACAGGCGTAAGTAAGTAAGTAAGGCATTAACACCGTTGGATGCGGGTCGATTCTGTGGTGTGGTAGTTAAGCGCTAGCACGCAAGTCTGTTAGTTCCTGAGTTCGAGTCTCACGGGGTGGAATGGTGGATGCTAAATGCTGAGGAGTCCCACAATAGAACGAAACGGTGATCCAGTTATCTCAGGTTTTTCATGATGTTCTAATTTCAATTGACTCGAGATCTGAACTATTCAAATTAAACAATAACTGATGATTTGTGACCGTAATGAAGCTCTGTCATTCATATGTTAACATAGGGGAGCACCAAGTAGTTTGTTTTGACTCATCGACTATGAAAACTTTTATCTTCATCAAGACAACTGCTTGTACTAAGCTGAATTATGAAAGGATTACAGGATATATGCATTGTTAGATCTATCGAAGCGTCAAAGTCACCCGATTGAGATACGCGCAAAATCGTAGTTTCCAAAACGACGATTTGTCTACAATAGCGGTTCTTTATTAAATAATACACTAAATTTAGTTACAAACTTCAACTTGTTAGGTGTCTAGGCGTTTTAACGCGTCCTTCAAGAATGAAAATAACGAAGGCTTCCTGTAACAGTAACATAAAGAATAATTATAACATACGATAGTACAAAGACAGCCGATAGCTGTGTCTAAATTTGATAACAGTTTATGAGCAACCGAAACCCGAACCAAGAGCAAACAATTAGGAAACTGTTGCGTTTAAACAAATACACAGAACTGTGGATAACCGCTACAGTAATTAAAGCACAGTGATTATGATAATAAACACAATGATAAGTACAATAAACGTTAAAGATATATGTGAACATTTCAGAATGTTACAGTACAACTTACGTTACAACGTAAGTGTGAAAATTGTTGGAAATAAACTGCTTACTGAATGTAAATAAGTAGTATAAAACAATATACGAAAGAGTAGAAGGGGAACGAGTAGGAACAGTGTAAGACACACGTAACATGCAACAAAACGACTTTTAAACAATTACCCTTGTTTTTTATATAATGATTGAGTGTTATAGTTTTCTCCATAATATTAAAAACTAACTAACAACATAATTTGTAAGTGCATCAATACATCAATCATCTAATGGCATGTATCGTATTGATGTTTCTGATTATTGAACATAAAGACTTTGTTCATTTTTAGAATGATAGTTTTCCTTTGATACAATCAAAGGATAAATTCGTATTTTTTTATAACTTGTGAACTGTATGCCCTGTTTATTGTATGACTTAACGATACCGCCAATTAGAGAGCAGCGAATTATCGATCGGACCAATAACATATAAAATCCGTGTGGACAGTCTAGGGACCTAACTGGTTCTGCTTCTCGCCTAGTCCAGCCAGTTAAGTCCAGAACGCCAGTCTTAGCCTCTGTAATATGAATCATTTATTTCAACCATACTGCGGTTATATACAAAACAAACAGATCACATCGTACCATAAAATATGAAACAACATTTGTACGAGAATTAGCCCAATGTGGCTTTGAATGTGCGAGATAGCAACTGATAAACAAGATATAACTCCAGAATGGTAAATCGTATAATAATAGTCTATGGGTTGACATAAAGCCTATTATAATAGTAACATGAATACGCATAGTTTAGCTACTTAATGATTACACATTAAAAATATATGTATCGCATTTTTTCATAAATAGATCCAAACAGTTACCATCCATAATTCTTGCTGGGATATAACACTTTATTACACCGTAGTAGAAGCGACACTTGAAAATTTGTTACTTTACTCAAGATTCGCCTATAATAGGATGTTTGGTCCACAAATGACATAATTATTTCAGTATTGGAAAATGAATTAGAAGAATGAATTAGCTCCACTGAAAACATGAAATATCATCTTTAGAAGCTGAGTTATATAGATTCAACAATACTAACGTTCATTTCATCATTATATTCGATGCCATTTATCTTAATCCATTTGTTTGAGTATTAGCTGTAATTTTAAAGGTTTTCAACATACTTCAGTATATATTCAATAATAATAATGACCTAAGTATACCTTGATGGTAATTCGTTGATAACAAGTACTTTTAAAGAAATATTACTTTTGCTTACTTACTTACGCCTGTTACTCCTAATAGAGCACAGGCCGCCAACCAGCATACTCTAACCCACTCTCTCCTTGGCCTTCTTTTCTAGTTCCATCCAATTATTGTTCATTTTTCTCATGTCTATCTCCATTTCTCAAAGTAATGTGTTCTTTGCTCTTCCTCGTGTCCTCACTTGGCCTTGAGGATTCCATGTGTAGGCTTGTCTTGTGACACAGTTGAGTGCTTTCCTCAATAGTTGTCCTATCCACTTCCAGCGCTTCTTTCTGATTTCTTCCTCCACTGGGATCTGGTTTGTTCTTTCCCACAGTTGATTGTTGGTAATATACATTCTCAGTTAAACTGTTCTGAGATTATTCTCAGTGGATAAACTTAAACGATTACAATTATTCTTATGTTTATAGTTAATTGTAAGATGAAGTTATGGAGAAACATTGGAATTCTGGGACTACAATTTTTACTGGTTTTAAGCATTTTACTTTAATCTAAGCATTACCTAGTATAATCCTTACAGTGAGTCATCATGGTTTTCAATTCGAATAAAGTAAAGGGTGTTCAATAACAAAGTGTTCTGAAATAAAATAAACCATCAATATAGGGTTGTGGAGATTATTAAGTTTTTGATTGAGATCATGAACCGATTTGTGTTAGACCACCATCGAAAACCTGGAATCACTGGATGGATATTTCGTCCCATTGTGGGACTCTTCAGAAGTGCACATTCACGATCCCATGATTCGAGATTTGTGATGGACTTCGCGTTGTTCTAGTGAGTAGGCTTGACCACTGGAGGTAATCCGTGTCGGATATAGACAGGTATTTATCTCGCTACAAAGGAGGATGGTCGTGTAAGTTCGTGGATTGGTTTAGGTTAGACATTAACACCGTTCGCGCGCGAAACCGAGGGCCCTGAGTTCGAATTTTGTGGTCGGGATCGTGGATGCCCACTAATGAATAGTCCCACGATAGGACGAAACGACCATCCAGTGATTCCAGGTTTTTATAAGTGCTCTATCATCAATCGGTTCATGATCACAATCAAAATAAAATAAACCAGTTCAATTTTTTTTGGTTGGTGGCATGTTTATATTCATGAATTCATTCACAAATAAAATATCGAAATCCCTAAATTTCATGAGTCAGTAACCGATTTCGAAATTGTAGATATGAATTTTACTAACCAAATTATGTCTGCTTTCATTTAAATGACTGTTGAAAACAGAAAGTAGATCACAGCTATCTTATGAAGGACTGTAAATCCTCAGCAGTTCAAACACATGATGCTTCCAGTTGTAGTACCTACAGCCTATAAGCAAATTGAGAGTTAGGTCAGACTAGTGAGTCAGAGAGAGAACAAACCAGATCAGGAAGAAGCGCTCGAAGTTGATAGGACACACATTGAGGAAAGCACTCAACTGCGTCACATGACATGCCCTCACACGGAATTCTCAAGGCCAAAGGAAGAGAGGAAGACTAAAAAACACATTACGCCGGGAAATGGAGATAGACATAAGAAGAATGAACAAAAATTTAGTAGAACTAGAAAAGAAGACTGAGGAGAGAGTGGGTTGGAGAATGCTGACCGATGACCTATGCTCCTTTAGGAGTAACAGGCGTAAGTTACTAGGTAAGTAAGTGAGTCAGAATGAAATTGTTCACATTTCCCACTTCCACGAGATACCATGTCCAATAAAATTCGATATTATAAGAAAGGAAAGAGATACCTTATCAAACTTTCATTATTCTCACTGAATATCTTGATGAAATGAGTTTGTAATAAAAACCTTATATAAAATATGATCATCATTAAACTTTTCCAATATTTATTTAAATTGACTTGATGTTGTTTACTTGTATCTTCCAATTGTTATTTAGGACTGCAATTGATCAGTCTTTTGTTGGCGTCTGTGCACCCTGTGTGAACTTCCTCAATATTGCTTGAAGTCACAAGGTTTATGAGCAAACATGGATAGTGTCTAGCAATGGAATCCAGTTTGATGTGCGTTTTGTCTTATTTGGGACTCGTCATCTGATGAGATGCAGGTACATCTAGCTGACAAGTCCCAAATAGGTCAAAACGCGTGTCCTAGATTCCACTGCTAGCCACTATCCATCTTTGCTTATAAATTATTAAAATTGTTTATTACAATTTGTAATTAAATTCACTCTCCTCATAATCATAACATTATGCAAAACTCATTAGCACCCAAACGCCCTAGTACAGCCGATAGTGGAGAGAGTCAACTCTTCCTCTCAAAATACTCTTACATCACCACGTACATACAATCCCTGCTAGGTATGTCCTACTCACTGACTTCTCGCGGCACTACTGATGTTTACGAAATTGATAGGACGAAAAGCGAATGTCCGACGCTTTCATTGGGTTAATGGACACGGAGAGTCCACCTAGGGGAGTTCCAAACCCTGATTACAAACCAACGGTGTACATGAACTCCAGGACCTTGAGGAAAAAAATAGAGTATCAACTAATCGTTAGTCACCAGCTACCATAGAATTGCATCTCTTGAGATCGTCCCACTACTGAGTGTAGCCCCTTAAAAAAAACCACCTGCTTCGGTTTGAACACCCTGGCAGTATCACAGCCCATATACAAATCAAAAGACTTGAGCGGTACATATCTATTTAGTGCCTTCTTATACCAATATTTATATGTTTAAATAAATAGTCTAGAGTACAACATTATTTATCCGGAATAAAATCATTACTAATGATATGCTTAAAGTTGAAATTCTATCTATATTAGCAGGTTTTAAAGTGTTTTAGTTAAATAGAACTTTGGTTTCTATGAGATAATTTACATATATATATATTTGTATAAATGTTCAAATTCCATTCATGATAATGATGATGATAAACCTACTGATTATCTCGTTATTCTTCTTCTTATGTTTCAATTGTGAATTACATAATCAATCATTACATCATCATAATAACAGTATAGATTATCATCTATTATGGACAATATGGAAATTACGTTATCATCAATATTATAGAAATCAAATTGATGAAATCAATTCTTTTATAGTATGGAAAATCAATATTGATCAAATTTTATTACATAATTTATATTATGATTTACAATTAAAAACTTATCGTAAATCAATAAATCAATATACAGTAATCAATTGGGATGATTTTTATCAAAATAAAAAAAATCAATTAAACTTATTACATCATCAAAAGAATCGATTATTATTAGTTAAGGAGAAATATAGAAGTTACAATGTAACAAATAGTAATAATAATCATCATCATTTACCAGATATTATTGATTGGAGGGATAATGATACTGTGACACCAGTAAAAACACAAGTTAGTTTAGATCACATTCTCATTATTGGGCCCCTATCATTCTTTTCTTTTTTTTCTCAAGTTTGGTTTGTATTGAATAAACTAAGATGATAAACTTACTGAGTGACTAACACTGAGTTACTCTCAATGGAGTATGGGCCGTGTAGGCCAGCATTCTTCAATCCATTCCCTCCTGAGTATTCCTTTCTTGTTTAATCCAATTTTTGTTCATTATTCTCATGTCTTTCTTCATTTCTTGACGTCATGTGTTCTTTTGTTCTGTAGAAAACTAACTCACTAAAAACAACGCTAACGCTAAGATCATTAGATCCAAAGTTTTTATTTCTTTTTGTCGTTTGTCATCATTTATTTGTTTCAACCCCATTTTTTTGTAATGCAAATTATTGTTTGTGCCTGCTGAGATGATCGAGTAAGTAATGGTGAGGATAGACGCCAGGGTATCATAAAATGATGATGGTAAACCAGTTGATGATGTTGTGAATCTTTATCGACTGAGATGGTTCGGTCACGTGCTCTTACGTTTGCATGAACACCGATTACCATGACGCGCAATGCTGACTAGTGTTGGAGAGGGTTGGAGGAAATTTAGGAGCGGACAAACTAAAATGTGGCATCAATCCTTGAAGTCACTAACTTCTAGTCTTAGCCATGTTGGTAGATTCAGAATACTTGGTTGTGGTCCGTATGACTCTGTGTGACATGGCTCAGAATCGATCAGAATGACATTGGTGTATACACTCTTTGTTTTCTCTTAAACTATGAGATTAAAATTACTTTATATCTTTCTACGAGCTAGTTCTTTCTTTATGTATTATACCCTTTTGTATATTACTACCATTGAATTAATTACTATGAATCCTGTGTTCATCTTGTTGTGCTAATGAGGTATGGCAACTTTGATCGATGCATATATGTGCGTGATCCTACATTGTAGCCAACTGACTGACTGACTCAATAACAATACTCCTTAGAAATACTCCTCTTCAAAACTGCTTCATTGTCGTTTAATGTTTTTTTCTTTTGTGTTCAGTGCTCTGTAATTTCAAATCAATATCTTGCACGAAATACTATGGTTTTGATAATTCTTACAAATTAATCAGATTCATAAGATAAGAAAGATGAGTTCAGAGAAAAGTTCTCTTTTCAAGGAATTCATTTTCAAAGCTGTACAGTCAAATGTATATATTATTTACTTTTCCAAATGATAATAATAGTGATAATAGAATCCTGCTAAACATGATAACAGTGAGGCAGAATAAACAAAAGGCCCGGATAGTTTAGTCGTAATGTCTCTCACTATGGAGCTGAGTGACATGGGATTAAATCTGTCAGGGCGCATCAATCTCCCACAAGATTACAGGTACACCTTGCTGACGAGTACCAAATAGGACGAAACCTGAATCCAGGGTTCCTTATTGACTACCTTCAACTACCATCTTATAAAAACGTTATTTTGATCGAGAAAATTAATTATAATTTCGTTGTTGAGAACTTGAATATTCATTATGAAGATAGATAAGATGATAATAGGGAAGAGAAGGTTTTTTTTTCATTTCTCGGTAACTTCATCCAGTATATTATCACAAAAGTAACAGCCAACGGTCTTCTAGCAAACTGGCTGGAAGATCTTCCAGGACTTATCATAAAAAGTATTTGTATACATTCTCTACATAACACTATTGAATTCATTGATTATATAAAAGAAGTGAATGTAATTGACAAACTTTGTCCTTTCATTTGATATTGATTCACTACTCGGTAATTTCTCACTTACAGAGAACATCAATTTTATCTACAGATATATAAATAATAATGAGATTTATATCGAACTACCAGAATCTTATCTGAAGGTAGTACTATTAAGATGCATTTGTAATTTACAACTTACATTCAACGATATAATTCATAGGTAAAAACATGGCAGAGTAATGGAATCTCTTCTTAATCCATTACTGGCAAATTGTTTCATTGTCGATCTCTAAGACTGTCAACTTAAAACGTCTATTAACAACTTTCACTGGTTTAAAAGGTATATACATGATGTTTTTGTAATTTGTTACCATAAACATAATTTAGATCATCTTCTAAAACATTAACCACTGACTGCCCCAATGTGCGATGTTTTATGGTGTAGGAGTAGGTTGGAATTAATCTAGGGGCTGCTAGTTCAAAACATGGCACCAATCCATGAAGTCACTGACAAGTGAACTGCGTGAGCAGTGTTGGTAAATGTAGACTACCTGGTTGGGATCTGAGAGATGATGGCAAGTGTTGGTTAGAGACGTTAAATGATGCAGGTGCATCTACTCTTTGTGTTCTACGAAATTCTAATCTTCTGAATTCTTCATTTCCCTGTCTTTTTTCTCTTTCCAAATTTGTTTCACTAGATTATACTCCTTGAATATCATCTTCGAACCCTAGTTTTTCTGATGACTGCGTATACTTTTACTACCTCTACCACTGTGGGATTTGAATCAATAATTTTGTCTCTGTGCTACTGTGATTTGGCAACCTAAACTGATGTACTTACATACGAAGGTCTACGTTGTTACTCAGTGACTGACCGACCCGGAAGTCAATTTCACACTAGAGGATGAAGGAAAACAAAGTATTCACTTCCTCAATGTCGAGATGATCAGTAAACACGACGAAATAAAATATAAAACTCAGACCTCCTTAAACACAGATAAGCTTGGTGGAAAAGAAGACACCTATGTGAACATTGATTTCAAAGGTGATATAGTTACAGACACCCTGAAGTGGAAAATTTTAGACTCTCTCAAGTAGAACATTCTTAAAAACCTTGCGAATACTGTTCTCCAGCCGATCACTGATCACCAATAATTTTAAAGATAAATTATCTCGTTTAATCAATTCTCTCTGTGTTTATCAATTTATGTGCTCATGCGGACCCAGGTATATCAGTCATTTGATGCTTATTTTATCAAAAAGAGTTCAAGAGCGTTACTCAGTTCAGTTAGAAAGAAATGTAAATAGCTCAACAATAAGTTCAGTAAACGAAAAACTTGTAAACACAGATCATTCAATCAAAGCGAGCTCTGTGTTCAAATTCATCTACAAGGCAAGTAGAGAGCCGTCAAACATGGTTACATTCCATCTTGTTAACGCTGTCAAAGCAATAACTATACTTTTGGAAAAACCAGGATTACATGTCCAAAAGAAACTGGTACAACCTCTTCTTCGACCATGGCTTTATACTCTCGTAATTTTTTATCCCTCCTTCATTCTTTTCTTCTTTTACAGCTGTCTACTTCCGTTCTGTCTTCTGTATGAACCATTTATGCTCAACAGCTTTCTTTCTGTTCCCGTGATCCTCCTGACCACATTTCAACACTGCATCTTATCACTCTAAACCTTCTCTTCTCTATTAATAATCTTCCTATCAATCTTTATGATGGATGTTCATGCTGTCAACAACAAAATTATTAGTATAAAATTGTGGAGATCGTCGAGTTTTTATTGAGATCATGAACGGATGAATGTTAAACCACCATTGAAAACCTGGAAGTACTGGACAGTCATTTAATTTCAGTATGGGACTCCTCAGTAGTGAGCATCTACCCTAAATAATTTTCCGGAATAATATACAGAAAGTATTCTTTGTAATTCAGATTACCAATCGAAATTCCCATCAATTAATAGAGGTCAGATGTTTCCAGTAGTAGGGGAAATTGAAGATTATTTACAAGTAACAACTTCAGTAAATGAGTTCACGTATTTAGTTGTCAGGTTATCTACGATTATTAAGATATCATCCGAATGTCTTCTTTCAATAGATTTAACTCAAATATACTGTGATTACCTTTTTCTATAGGAGGATTGTGCATCTTCATGGGCAATTGCCTCAGTTGAAGCACTTGAAGGGCAAGTTAAAAGAAAAACAGGAATTCTTACTCCATTATCATCACAGCAACTGATAGATTGTACTGGAGATCATGAATGTGTAGAGAATCCAGTAACTGTAGCATTTGATTTTATAAAACAGTATGGTGTAGAATCTCAAGAAGATTATCCTTTTACTGGTAAAGTAAGTATATTATTGATTAGTGTATTGATTCAAAGCTACAAGACTATTAGAATTTAAACTACAGTTATTGTTTACAGACTCCCTAATGAACATAGAATGAAATTTAATCTTTAAGAATCAATTATTCTGAAGAAGTTTCTTTATACTCATACGAAAACGTTGAATAACTCAAGAATTAGTTTACGCATTTCAGAATAAATAAAAAACATTCGATTATGGATGTTTGTTTTAGTTAATTTCAACTCATTTGAATTCTCAACGATTTAATAAGGTACTTCAATCCGTCAGTCAGCTACAACGTAGAGACCAGGCACATACATGCATCGGTTCAAGTTGCCATACCTCATAAGCACAACATGATGAATACCGAATTCATACAAGTAGTTACTTCAATGGTAGTAATATTATAAAAGAAAGATTGTATATAAGGACGAAAGAATTAGTTCGTAGAATGAATGGTATGAAGCAATTTTAATATCATAGTTTAAGGGAAGAAAAGATCAAGTGCGTATACACCTACTTCTAACAGTTAGTTCACGATACCTAAATACTACTGCTTAATTGTTCGTCTTAACAATAGGATGAAATAAAAAGATTGACGATGAACACATACCTTAGAGTATATTGTTAAGGGATTGGACATTTAAAGATGAATGAAACCAATTAACAACTAATCATATTGTAAAGAAACTTTCTTATTCAGATGGGATAACTGAATATCTAAATATACAAAGAGTAGAATATCTACAACAAATTTGGATACAATAAGAACACTTCACTTTTTTTAATAAAAAAACAACAACTCAGTACCATTAAATTCACAATCAAATCAAACCACATATATTACAACAATACTTGCATACTTAGTTACTTACGCCTGTTACTCCAAATGGAGCATAGGCCGCAGACCAGCATTCTACAACACACTCTGTCCTCGGCTTTCTTTTCTAGTCCCATCCAATTCTTGTTCATTTTACTCATGTCTATCTCCATTTCTCAAAGTAATGTGTTCTTTGGTCTTCCTCTTTTCCTTCGGCCTCGAGGATTCCATGTGAGGGCTTGTCTTGTGACGCAGTTGGGTGCTTTCCTCAATGTGTGTCCTATCCACTTCCAGCGCTTCTTTCTGATTTCTTCCTCCACTGGGATCTGGTTTATTCTCTTCCACAGTACGTTGTTGCTAATAGTGTCCGGCCAACGGATCTGAAGTATTTTGCGTAGACAACTGTTAATAAACACCTATATCTTCTGGATGGTGGCTTTCGTAGTTCTCCAGGTTTCTGCCCCATACAGTAGAACTGTCTTGACATTTGTATTGAAAATCCTGACCTTGGTGTTTGTTGAGGGTTGTTTTGAGTTCCAGATGTTCTTCAGTTGTAGATATGCTGCTCTTGTTTTTCCGATCCGTGCCTTCACATCTATGAAGGTAGTTCTGGATTATTATATACCCATGTTCAGTATAGCCTTTTTTTACCCTGTAATGCAGTCATTTCATGAAGCAATATTTACTTCTGATTAGATCATAAATTTTAATGGTAGAATACTTTTTGTAGCATATTTCATTTCAATAAATATATTCCGACCAAGCTTCATAACCGCTTTTAGTGGTGACTGACACTCGAAATTCTTATATTTCTATGAGCTTTGCTAAAAGTTTTAAGTGCAATATTTAGTATATTTGTGTAGTTCTCCACTGTATAGATGAATACTCCTGTTTTTTATATTTCAAATATGATAGTAAGCACTGTTTATTTTTGAATTATTTAAACTACATTACTTTAGTAGTGTGTGCTACTGATGTCGATAGATATAAGTAATATGTATTATTAATCGCAAATGAAATGCCTGGTGTCAGAAAGTTAAGAAAATTGAAAGAAATAGAACTAGAACAGAGAACGATTAGTGTGGAAATGAAAGAATAACGAAGTTTGGGACGACTGATTAACCTTTTGCAAATGAAGTGTTTACTGTATGGATCTCAGATTTTACTACGACATTCTGTTATTTTGTATTCAAATCTATTCGATTGTCTCCACTTTCATTCTCGTTCACTACATTTTGAATATGGCTGTTGAAAATTTAATGAAACGTCTTAATATTACTGTATTTTGTAGATTGTATTGTCGTAGTTCCTGAACAGCACTTCACGTTTATTTCATCAAGTACGATTCACGAGGTTATCATTTAGGAATTTCATAGAATTAGTTCTCTTTTTAAAATAGAATAAAGTCTGCCTCACTTGTTGTGTTTGGCACTGTTCAAACATCACTTAAAAACACATATATTACAGTATGACATACAATTATACACTGGAATACGTAATTATTTTCTAACGAAAAGTATATCCTGAACTTGTACTTCCCAAACAAATACTTTATAGGTTGAAATCATGAGTCGATCTAATGGTTAACTGCTCGCGCGCGAAGCCAGTGGGTCCTGGGTTCGAGCTCCGCGTGGTGCGGGATCGTGGATGCGCACTGCTGAGGAGTCCCATGCTAGGACGAAACGGCCGTTCAGTGATTCCAGGTTTTCCATGGTGGTCTAGCTTCAATCGACTCATAATTTCAACTTGTGAAATTTCTAAAACTCTCCACAAAACCTATTCTGAAAATACTTTATACACCAGTAATTGTCGTCGGAGGACTATGCTCAATTGGGAGTAACAGGCGCAAGTAAGTAAGTAATTGTTATCATAGATTCACAAGATTAATAGAATATCAGACATGTTCTTTGAAGTATTCTTTCATTGTATGATTTATTATATAAAATCTTAATCTAAAGATTTTCCAACGTCCTTCTAAAATTATTTTAGGTTGGAAATTGTACATATAGTTCATCAAAGAGTGTGACAACTTTATCCTCTTATATACAAGTGGATGATAATGAGGAGGAACTTCAAAAAGCTGTGTATGATATTGGCCCTATAGCAGTAAGAATTACTATGACTCAGGAATTTCTCACTTACGGGTAAATAAATTGAAAATAATTATTTTAATAGTTGAGATCATGAGTCAATTGAAATTAGACTATCATGGAATATCTGAGATCATTGGACCACCGTTTTGCCCTGCTGTGGGACTCCTCAGCAATGAGCATCCACGACCTCGTCCAGTGAGATTCGAACTCAGGACCTATCAAGCGCTTAACCACTAGACCACTGAGTTGGCCTGCATTCAACAATGTTAATGTGCAACTTCAACTAATCCACGAAATTGAGTGACACGTCCATCATTCTCTTCAGTGAGTTACTATCTCACAACAAACTCGGTTGAACTCCATTGGTCACTGCTTCTTACTAGGGCTCTAGGAAATACCTCTTGAATCCAGTCACCAATGAATATATGTTGATTCATATGATAAGGGTTTTTTGTAGATATAATATTAATTTTAATAGTTGAGATCATGGGTCAATTGAAGCTAGATCACCGTGGAAAACCTGGAAGCATTGGATGGTGATTTACTTGTCAGGCACGAAATGTTACATCCTACCTAAACAATCATGATAGTACTAATAACTTAAAAACTTATTTTTTAAAAATATTGCTTAAGTTCATAGTACAAGTACTTAAAAATTCACACAAAAAAATGAGGTCAATCAAGACATTAGAAAGTCAAATTAGCTTCGCAAGATGCTAACTAAAAAAAGGAAATAGATTAAGGATATATATTTCTCACTTTATCCGCCCTATTATAACAGATATCGAGTGATGTAGTGATAATAAAGGCTTAATTTAATTTTAATAGTTCAGATCATGAGTCAATTGAAGTTATACCATCATGGTAAACCTGGAAGCACTGGACGGCTGTTCCGTCCTATTGTGGGACTCTTCAGCAGTGCGCATCCACGACCTCACCTCGCAGGACCCGAACCTAGAACCTATGAGTCTCGCGCTAAGCGCTTAACCAACTAGACCACTGAGCCGGCATCAAACGGTGTTGGCTCATGATCTCAACTATTGAAATTACTACAATCTCCATAAAACCCCTTCTGAAGCTTAATTTGATATTACATAATTAGTTCCGTATGGAATCTTCAGTAAACAATATTTCAAAAGGCTTTTCATACACTTCTTACATCTTATATATATGAAATAGGTAAATTATGCAGAATGAAATGAAATACTTTTAAGAAATGTAAATTGGTAATGCGTTCAACAATATGAGTTTTCCATTTAAATGAACACTAAAAACCTGTTCGTTACATAGTATATGTGTTAAATACAGATTGTAGTGCTTTTGTACTTTATCTTCCATGAATGGATTTTGATGTATACGTCTGTTGTTTTATCAGTTTCCAACTATTGACCAATCCATTGGGATCGTGGATGCGCACTGTTGAGGAGTCTCATACTAAGACGAAACAGCTGTCCAGTGCTCCCAGGTTTGCTATAGGGATTGTCTATTTGAAAAGTTTTAAATTCTTAAATATTTTAGTCAATAAAATATTTTTGTGGCTATTACAGAATATCTGATTGTTTATTTGAACATGTACGGTCATCCATCGAAATTAATTTAGAAGGAGTTTGTTAACTGCTTGTATCCAAATTAGTACCTTTATTAGCTGAATTATTAATTTCTAACAACTGTCCTTAAATAATTTTAAAAGCAAACCTCAGAAAAATTAAGAATGTTCATATAAATATTCTATTGATAGTGCAACTGTTTACAAGTCAGGAGTGACTATGGGCTTGCTGATCTACTTCGTGAGGTATTCTCCATCCCTAATCCAAACTTCTTCGGTAACAATCAGCGCAATCATTATTTTTGGGTCATTTTATTAATAAACGTCCCGACTTTATATGTTCTACCACCAACTATTAGTCATTCATTTCGTAGAATTCCAATCAATTCTGATTCGTTTCTCAGCTTTCTTGGATGAAATGCTTTTTCTACCTGTTTGTGTGGATCATATATAAATTTGAATAGCAGAATTTCAGATTAATAAACGTCTATACTGCAAATCAAGTATCTCCGCAAAACAGTTCCTTTTATATCTCGATAGTTATCAAGTTAATCCCAATTTGAAATCATATATGATGACTTCATCTTGAAATGTGAGATAAAGAAAGTCATTAAATATTCACTTTGTTAGTTCATACAAGCCATTACATGCTCACTTTCAAAGTTATTCCATAAGTAACTGAGATTCTATATTCAATCTCTCTAAAGATGATTAGTTAGTATTTAACTTTTTTTCAATACATTCAATACTTTTAAACAATTTTAATTGAAAAGTATTCAAATTATCTTCTAAATCCAATGATCTTTATATATTTTGGAATACTTAAATATTGTAGATTGGATTCCAATTGAATATCGAGCAATTATACGGATAAAATATTTAGTGTACAAATAATGAATCTTTAATAACTCTTCCTGGAGTCTTTCTGAGGGCTACTGCCGTTCCAAATCCTTGATAAAGGAGAAAGGTTGGGCATAAGGTTAGCGACCCCATCCCGTAGAAAACAAACTCGCTGAAAAAACGCTAACCAATGAATCTTCAATACTCGATACTTTCCACTGATCACCAAAACTGTTATCACATCAATATATTACGACTGAAAATAGAATGATGGTAAATCAATTGATGATGTTGTGAATCTCCATCGAATCAGATGGTTGGGTCACGTGTTCTTATGTATGCGTGAACACCGATTACCACGACATGCAGTACTGACTAGTGTTGGAGACGGTTGGAAGAAATTTAGGGGCAGCCAAACTGAAATGTGGCATCAGTCCTTGAAGTCATTAACTTCTAGTCTTAGCCATGTTGGTAGATTGAGAATACTTGGTTGTGGTCCGTATGACTATCAGAACCAATGGTTGGAAACTCTGAGTGACATGGCTCAGAATCGATCAGAATGACATTGGTGTATACACTCTTTGTTTTCCCTTAAACTATGAGATTAAAATCACTTCATATCTTTCTTTTACGAACTGGTTCCTGATACGAAATCTTTCTTTTATATATTACCTCCATTGAATTAACTACTTCTATGTATTTGGTGTTCATCTTTTTGTGCTAATGATGTGTAGCAACTTGAACCGATGTATATACGTGTCTAGTCCTACGTTGTAGCTGACTGACTGACAGCCTGAACATAGAAAATGGTATCGTACGACACAAGGAAGCAACACTAAACTGTTGACAAATAATTTACTTCATGATCTCAACTTGAAAAATTTATTCGTTTAATAATTAAGAAACACCTTATACATAAGGATTTACTCATATTTCCAATTCGTTAACAAAAGTCATGCTGAAATGATACAAATAAATGTTAATCTACATGTTACAAACAGATTCCATGCTAAAGTGTACTGAGTAAATTAACATACTGAATTAATGTATGGTTTCAAGATTAACCTCTATCCATCATAATGCTATGTATCTCAATAATCAGGTATAAATTTACGTGGTCAGCTCTGAGGTAAACTGTTTAGATGAAGACTAGTGTTACTATATGATAGCTCAAACCGAGGTAGATAGAGTGAGGTTTAAATTTCCGAAGTCTAAAAGACATTAATCCATGTTAATATCGATTATAACTCCGCCTGGAGTCCCTCCGGGGGCTACTGCCGGTCCCAAGCCCGGATTAAGAAGGATGGTTGGGCATGGGGTTAGCGACCCCATCCCGTAGAAAACTAACTCGCTAAAAAAACGCTAACCAGAAAAAAATTATTCAAAAAAAAGCTTTTAAACTCAGCCCTGGGAGTCAAAAGGTCTTCATTTAGAAGAGTTATAACTCCTCATGATGAAAGCCGAGTTCCTTCGGAATTTACGAGGCCGATGCCCCTTCTGACAACCAGAGCAACCATTTATTTAGGTACATAGAATGTTCGTACAATGTGGGAGAGAGGGAGAGTCTTCCAAACTGCTGCAGAATAACGATTACATCTAAAAAAAAATGTAAATTTACTTTCAAGTTTAATCAAAACAATTCTGATTGTTGTCGTTATTATTGTTTAAAATAAATTTATCTCTTTACTTTTATTATTTTATTTTATAGGAGTGGAGTTTTATTAATAGATGATTGTCAAAATGAAGAACCATTCGAATCTGTTTTAATTGTAGGTTATGGTATAGAGAATGGCATACCATATTGGTTACTTAAATTTAGTTTGGGTGAAGAATTCGGTGATCATGGTTATATGAAATTAGCCAGAAATCATAATAATATGTGTCATATTGCCAGTTTTGCATATTATCCTGTCATATGATCAATATTTTATGCCATAATATGAACTAATAATAATAATGAGCTGAAAAAAATCAATAAATTAGCCAAATTCAACATGATGATTTTATAGTATCATTTATACTCTTCATTATTTTGATTATTAAATTCTTTACCATACAATTTGTAGTATTATTTCATACCAAGCTTCAGTTTCCATGAATCGGACTATTGATATTGGTTTAAGCGTCTTTTTTATTTATTTATTTATTTTACTACATAGATATTAGTACAATGAGGCACCAAATACATATGCGCCACACAAATCTCATTCGATATGTGTGAGGGCTGTGATACTGCTTGGGTGCCTAAACCAAAACAGGTGGTTTTCTTAGGGGACCACTCCCCGAGCCTTCAACCTGAAGGTCTGATCCACAAGGCAGTGGAGCATCGTAAGGAGATGCAGTCCCATGGTTGCCGGTGACCAACAATTGGTTCATACGCCATTTGTTCCTTAAGGATACTGGAGCCCATGTACACCATTGGTTTGGGATTCGGTTAAAGCACCAGACATTCGCTTTTCGTCCTCTCATTTTCGTAAACAACAGTAGTGCCACGAGAAGGCAGTGAGTAGTACATTCCTGGCAGAGGCTATATACGCGTGGCCATGTGAGAGCATTTCGAGAGGGAGAGCGGATTCTCTCGATACTTTAGTGAAAAATCTTATCAACAGTTAAACGGAATTAGAAGTTTTTTGATGAATCTTGTCGAAAGTGCACACTGTAGTGAAGCAAATATCAATTTTTACTAATTATCTTCAAGACTAACCATCAACCGAAAATCCGTCGAAATATACGTAGTTCATGACTAAGGTGAATGCAAAAATATTAAGAAAAATTTATTTGTAGAATATTTCATATCACTGAAATGTTTATTGATAGACAATCATAAAGAAATTTTACCTCCAATCTTTCTAAAATGTTTAAACCACATATTTCAGACTGTGAAACAAGTTTTGAAGACAACTTAAAAAAAACAATCTCCTGGATGAATTTCTCAATTAAATTTAGACTATTATCTTGGCAAATCTCCTAGGACTAAGCTTGATGTAACATAGGTAAAAGCAGCAGGTTATCATAATATTCTTGTTTAGTGATTCAATCAAGTAACTCCTATATTTTTACTCAAAAATACGATCTTTGGTTGTAATTGCTTTGAATCAAACACTAATAGACCACTTCTTTCTCCTGGAATCAGCTTAAATAAATATTAACGGTTGAGATCGCACATAAAAATATTGTAACTTATTGCATTTCAACACTATTACGATCTTTGTACTGTGGTAATCCCACGTAATTAACAACTATTCCTGTTACTTTATCTTGCTGGTGGCGGCGTGCGAGATAAGATCGATCCACGTGTAGTGAACGTCAAAGGGGCTTATGACAATCTGGGCCACCTTTGGCGCCTTCGTGATCTTAGTCTGGCCGTAAAAGATCGGGTCTACGACTCGTCAGTGAGGGCAGTTTTGCCTGTGTTTGTGAAACCTGTGTACTTCAAGTTGAGGAAGTTAGACAAATGTGTTTGGTCATCCTTATCTCTAAAGGATTACTGACACAATAGCAACACAATGTTAGTAATGTGCATGTTTGGAAACCGTGTGTTCGGACACAGTGACGATAGCTCAATTAGTGTTAACATCATGACACAGTGACTTCGATGGCACGGACATGTGCTACAAATATTTTCTCAGAGGATTCCACACCGTGCATTATTTTCCGACGTCATGACTGGCTGTAAGAAAGCGGAGAGGTAGTCAGTGTATGACGAGGTGTTGTAGTATGAAAGCTGTACAATACTAGTTTCTGTTGGTCCTTCACGACTCCCTGGTAGGAGTTCTAGAGATGGTGCAACGCTGGCTTGAGACGTTATCAGAAATGGTACGGAATAGAAGCCAATGACGCTGCTACTGTAACTCACTCTTACTTCCTTCATGTAGGTGAGGGTAACTTCTTTAACTGAAAAAATTCTTTCTAGTTGTATTTTTCCCGAACTACCTCTCCTATTATTGTTATTTCGCCCCCCCCCCACATACACACCAATATCTGTTCGTTGTTGTTCTTTTTTATTATACTCAACTTCTTTTCTCTACCTCTTTAGAATCACATTTTTGTGTGGCACTTCGACACCTTGGTCTCACCTTGTATCAATGTTTATGTGTCTAAGTAATAATAATTTAATTTTGTAAGATATTGTACACACTGCGACATCTACTTATTACACTATGTTCACTGAAAACATGAACGCCTACTTTATAGTCCCGCGCTTATTTGGCTAGTTTTTTCTGGTGTATTAGTTAGCGAATTAGGAAAGAGTGAATTAAGCGTGGATTATCAAACATGCTAAATAGGGTATCAGAGTTAGCATAAAGTCAGAAGTGTCATTGGCGTGGGTGAGTCCATAACTCTTTCTTAATTATTAAAGCATATTCATTTGTTAAATCACTTTAGTATTTATCATACTCTTATATTTTGATCGAACCTACACTTTATCTTTGACGTTAGTATTGTTAATTAGGCAGCTTTGGGTAGCACGCCAAATGAACTGGAGAAATATTTGGCTGAATATTATTAGTTATATATTTACGTTACTTATAGCTAACAGCTTTCACGCTTATAAAGTAGCGCTCAGAGAACGGCTGTATATTGCTTAT